ACAGGGCGGCCACTCTGCACAAAATCACGTGTATTTAAACACGATTTTGCATGTCCGGGTAAGGGGCACACGCGCCGTCCTACCTGAGCTGTCATTGGCTCCCGTAAGTGTCAATCACCGAGTCCCGGGCAGCAATGGCCAGGACTTGGTGATCGATGGAGCAGCTGACAGGAGAGAGATCTGTGAATGTAAACAACACAGATCTCTCTCTTGTCAGCAGTGACTTGCTGGTTTTTATCTCTCTGCAAAGCAGGGAGAAAAAAGCAAGCAGGTCCCCTAATAAAACACAACACAGTAAACAGGTTAATCACTCCTTAACATAAAGTTACCCTTTTGATCACCCCAGATTTAACCCCTTCCTGTCCAGTGTCATTAGTACAGTGTCAGTGCTTTTCATTAGCACTGATCACTGTATTAACGTCACTGGAGATGTCAGTGGCAGTTTGTCTGTTCCCACCCAGTGTCAGTTAATGTCAGAATGCCCACCATACTATCTCAGTACCGCTGCATAGTATAAAACAAAAATTCCGGTATATATCCCATAGTTTGTAGATGCTATAACTTTCATGCAAACCAATTAATATACACCTTAATGGGATTTGTTTTTACCAAAGACATAGCAGAATACATTTGGGCCTAAATTTTTGAAGACATTTTATTTTTTTTATTTATTTATTTATTGGATTCTAGATGATAAATAATTAAAGTGACACTAAACTCTGGTTTTAAAAAGTTATATACATGTATGTATTCTTAACTCAAAAAGTTGCTTCTATTGCCCTTTGCTGCTTTCAAATCCTCAAATTCATTTTTATTTTTTGCTGCTGTGATCCGAATTCCTGTCAGAGGGTGACTACGCTCATTCTCGATGGTTCTACTATATGTAGGAACATAGCTCCCTTCACTTTCTTGCTCCCAAGATGGACTATGTACTATGAGATGTGTAGTGTGCATAGAGCAGTGTACACAACTAACATGAGCTACTCATTCCAAGCACGTATTATTGAGATGGAAAAAGAGAGGATTGGGAGCTCACAAAGAATGTTAGAAGAAGGCAGAAAAACACAGAAGAAAAGATGTTATAAAAAAAAAATAGATTACAGGACCATTAAGTAGTGAATGTGTATGGATCATTGTTGGTAATTACGTATATTGTTTGGTATCACTATAAATCTGATTGGTTGTTATGGGTCACAGTAATTCTCTTTTCACCTTTAGTTGAAGAATTGCAAAAGTAGAAATGGAAATAATGTCTGATTTTCTGATATTAAAAAAAAACAACTGCAATAAAATGAAAACATTGTTGTCAGCCCTTTTTAGTTCTCTTGTATTGTACTACAGAACACCTCCCCTGGCATCTCTATAACATTAAAGTGGTTGTAAAGCGAGACATTTTTTTAACCTAATGAATTGTATGCATTAAGGTAAAAAAACTTCTGTGTTGTGTTCTCCCCCTCAGCCTCTTTCCCCTCCTTTATACTTAGCTGATCTCAATCTCAATCCAGCGCTGTGCACAAGAACAGTAACTCTCTCTGATCTCTCTCCTCTCGTAGGATCAGAGACAGCAGTGGGAGCCATTGGCTTCAGTTCAGTCAATTACAACCAGTGAGAGAGAACAGGACAAGGCAAGGTCGAGCCATGCTCTGCGTGTCAATGGACACACAGAGCAAGGCATGTGATTGAGCACATGAGCGCCCCCATAACAAGTGGCTTGCTAAAGGGGCACTTGACATGGGGGGAGGTGCCAGGAGTGCCAGTAGGGGACCGAGAGCAGGAGGATCAGGGCTGCTTTGAGCAAAAACATTGCCCAGAGCAGGCAAGTATAGCACGGTTGTTGTCTTTTTTTTAAAATACAAATTTTACATTTACAGTCGCTTTATAGGAGGTGTTCTGTGGTCCAGAAAGGAGATCCAGATTGACAACACTGCTTGGGATTTCAATGTAGCAAAGGCAGAGTTGTCACATCACTACAGGAAGTTAAGAGCTTACTGAATTTCTGTCAGATCAGGAGGTATTTTCTGCAATAGATACGTAGGGAAATGGTACTATGATGCATATACAGTTGGGCTCATTTCTGTTTAATGACTTAGTGAAGAGATACTGAGTGAGTAACCACCAGTCAGGGGAAATTATGATTTGGTGAGCAACAGGTTGAAAGAATAGTCAAGATAGAGAAAGTGGGAAGAGAATCTTGTAGGGAAAGCATTGATATGGGGTATGAAGGCAAGGAGTGTGGAGAGTGTAAGAATGACCTTTCCTTCTCTAATCTGTAGCTGCTGTCATTTTATATAGATTCAAAGCATTATGGCAAACCAAAGGTGTACTGTGCACAGTTGGTGTATGGAACACCCCCAGAAACATAATTTCCCACTTGTGTAAAGAACTCTGTATTAGGATACAAGTCAAGTTTTAGGCATCCTCTGCAACAAAGAATTTTTGGTGAGATACTCCCTAGGGGCCGATCACTGTTATAAGGATACAGACATTGCAATGTTTCTAATCAGAACCCTGAAAGTGCACCAGGTGGTTCTAATGAATTATTCACTCCTGTTCAGAATCCTCTACAACAGTGGTTCTCAACCTTCCTAATGCCGTGACCCTTTAATACAGTTCCTCATGTTGTGGTGACCCTCAACCATCAAATTATTTACCCAGTAATTATAATTCATGAGTGTCGTTTTTACCTCCATTACTGCTGCTTTCAACACAGTAGCTGCTTTTAACAGAGTAGCTGCTTTCAACACAGCAGCTGCTTTCTACACAGTAGCTGCTCTTTACACATTGGAAATATGTGTTTTCTGATGGTCTTAGGGGACCCCTGTGAAAGGGTTGTTCGACCCCCAAAGGGGTCGTGACCCACAGGTTGAGAACCACTGCTCTACAAGATGTGATCTAACAATGAGCTCTTCCTCAGAGCAGAAACAGGTAGTTTGTTAACATCCTTGCAATGTACATTGATCACCCAGAGGGGAATACTTTCTAAGTGAAGTTGCTCTTTAAATGCTGTCCACGCTAGAGAACAATACAACAGTTTTATAGCTTAGACAAACCACAGTGGTAGGGGTATTACATTTCCAACCTACAAAAGATGTCTGCTGATTATGGAGAAGCTTTTTGTGTCTGTCATTTACCTGTCCTGGGGAAAATGCTTCTTTAGACATCCTCTAAAGTTTCTCACATGGCCAATAGTTTTGGCATTTGGGCATGTGATGTCTTCTGAGAGCTGACAAATTATTATTATTATATTATTATTATACAGTATTTATATAGCGCCAAAAGGTTTGCTCAGCGCTGTACAGAGTAGTGGGGACAGTACATGAGACAATACAGTAACAATACAATACACGAGGGGTTCGACGGCCCTGCTCTTTGAGCTTACAATCTAGCAGGGGGGGGATAGTGGTACAGGAGGAAATGCTGTGGGGGATGGAGTGGTAGGAGGAGTGGAGGAGATCGGCTATTAGGTGAGGGTGGGGTAGGCTTCCCTGAAGAGATGGGTTTTCAGGGTGCGCCTGAAGGTGAGAAGGGTAGGTGACAGTCTGATGGATTGGGGTAGTGAGTCAAATCATAAATGCTGATCTTTGCCCCCCAGTGAGGGCCAACATGAAAGGGAGCCAAGAACAGTATGGAATCTGGAGCCTGTCTATTATTGTATTTATGTATTTTTAGCTTTTTATTAATGCTTTACAATCAGCTGGATGGATGCTTTTACTCTTTGCCCTAGAAAAAATGACAGCTGTAATCTGATTGGCTGCCGTGGGCAGAGCTGATATTTTCCTTCCCTGTGCCTTTTATTAATCGGTTCTCTGTGCCTTTCTTTCAATTTTTAAAGGACTTACAAGGATTGTATTTTGTGTTCCAAGGAATATCAATTACCATTCATTTCATAGACGATTTAAACATTTTACAGTACATAGATTTCATGGCTTACCGTTCATTCTCCTAGCTGAGGACATTTAGCTGCCGTCAAAATATGAGATGCCAGTTTCAGAGAAAATTTCAGCCATTTTTCACCTGTCTTCATAGAGCTCCAATACCTTGTATGTATCCGTGAAATATTCACTAAGTACTTTCTGGTCTGTTGTTGATAGACTTCTTGATAAAATAAAGGGATTGTCCACTTCTAAAAAACAAAAAAAAAAACCCCCAAAAAACCAAAACATTACCTGTACTGTGAGAGGTCGAAGAATCTGTAACTAAGGGTTCCAAATAAGGCAGAGAGCCCAAATAAGATCCCTTGCTCCTAAAATGCAAGATTTGTAATTCTGTTCAGCAATTCTGAGATGCAGGCTGTCCTGCCAGATAGAATGCCCAGCTGGTGACCTAACATTGTTCCTATGAATTTAAGCAAAACTACTGACCTTTACCCAGGATGTTGATTGAGCAATAAAGACGTTGAATCATACTTATGAGGTTATACCACTGCACACTCAGCTCACCTCCTGTCAGCTAGCTGCCAGTGTTAGATCAACAGCCCTGGACAATCCACTAGATCCTGACTGCCTTAAAATACTCACCCTGTCCCTGGTTGCTATAATGAAATAATGGAAGCTGATAAAGAGATAGATTCAAGTAGATGTAAATCCAAATAACTGAAATCTCATCTGATCTTTAACACATTAATATAACATCAAAAATTACTTTCAATATCTTTAAGTCTACAGCTTTCAATAACCCCTTCCCCATGTTCTCAGCACAAAACAGCAATGTGGAAGGGCGGTAGGATTTTAAGCCTATCGCCCTGCTGTCACATATTTGCATAAGGTGGGCAGTAAGGAGTTAAAACAATATCTGGGGTATCCTGACATGACAATTCTTGCTTAGGTGCTTCCTGTTTTGTCCCTGTCTGTCGACTGTTTAACTGCATTGTCACCATGTCAAGTGTGATTCCAGAAGAGACTATAAGTAGTTATGCCAAAGCTCATGGTTCATAGTTATCATCATCAAGAAGTCCATCCTAAAATGTAGTCGCCTTTGGAGCACATGTATGTAGATAGGACCAGGGGCGGACTGACAACTCATGGGGCCCCGGGCAATAGGGGATCATGGGGCCCCTTTGTCCTTGCCCAAACTCAAAAAAGCCTATGAAAAAGGTACCAGGGGTATCTTATGGGGCCCCCTACTAACTCCGGGCCCTAGGGCAGTGCCTGAGTTTCCAAATGGTCAGTCCGCCCCTGGATAGGACAAGCTGCAAAAAGGTAAAGGAGATTAGCAGTATTACCATGCAAAAAGCATAAAAAAATGTGAAAATAAGTATTATCCAAAAAAGAAAAAAACATGCCAATTGTCTTTTATACATGATGCTTTAGAAAATTAAAAGCTGTCCATATAGGGTTTAACCGTAAAGGTGTTTGCACTAGCTGTTAATTATTTAAAATGTAATATGATATTTTTTTAATTAAAAATAATTTTAAAATATAATTGTTATCTAGTATTATTATTATTATTAATTAATAATAATAATAATAAAAATAAATAATAATAATAATAAGAAGAATGTTTATTATTATTATTATTTTTTTTTTTAATAAACACTCGATTAGATAGAACAGAGATTTTGAATATCTGCCTTTGCTTAGGTATCAGACATCTCAGTATTGCTAATTGTGGTCTGGCTGTTTTTTGGATCTGGACTCTCAAGGAGCAGATCAACAAATCTAGACCATAGAGGTAAATGTAATTTGCTTACTATTCCCTTTTCTTCCCTCCACTATCGCCACTATAACTATTCGTTTGGAAAGTAATAGCAAAAAAAAAAATAAAAAAAAAAAAAACCCCCTAACTTAACCAAAGTTTGTTATCTTTACATGACAGCTCTGCAGTCAGATTCTTACATACTTGCACTGCAAACCTGTACAGGTGACAGAATCTTGGTAATTTCACAGGTTCCTGCGGATGCTGTGGTGCCATCTGGCCCTGATAATACTGTATATTGGAAAACTATTAGGCTTCATTAGCTTAAATGAAGGCAAAAACACTTCAGGGCCCAGTGAGTCACACCTTCACCTTGTACAGGGCCAGTGAAAACCTGCTGTTCTCCAAAGGCTCCTCTTACAGATGATGCTAAATAACCTGATGTGAATTTCAATGAAGTGTCTTTAAACACAAAACTTTCCAAGTTTACTAAGTGATCCCATTTTATTTAGCTTGCAATTGAGGGATAACTGTAGCAAAAAAAAAAAAAAAAAAGTTAAGGAAACAGCTTTTTTTTAGCATGATTTATATTGTTTTGTTTTAAAAGACACATTTATAGGAATGTATATCTGTGTTTGGTTAGTTTTCTTTATATTTCAAATTTGTTGAAAGATGATACATTTAGAAACTCATTCTTTTTTTCTTTTGTTGATAGAACATTTGTATTTTACAAATAAACATTTTATACAGACCAAATCAATGACACTCATTTTGCAAACACTGCTATGCTTTCTAATTAGAAAGCCCAGCAGTGCCTTCATCCTTGTCTGGCAGCCTGTGTATAACTGACTTAGCCAGGGAGCCCCATGTCTTCTCAGAGAAAGGACTTCCTCTTTGTTCAATACACTGTTGATTTTCACATCTGCTAGGTCTAAGTCACAGCACAGTTTTAGATCCTAGACAAAGTTTGTTCCCATATCTCAAAGCTTGTAACCAGATGCATGCAGCACGCATGCATTATATTATTTATTTATTACAAGTACTTATAGAGCACAACTAATTTATAAGGCACTTTACATATTGTAAATTAACATCAGTCCCTGCCCTCGAGGAGCTTACAATCTAAGACCCCTATCTCACATACATACACACCAGGACTGAATAACCCTCCAGAATGTCTTATGAGTGTGGGGGAGAGCTGTTTTCGGAAAGCATTGGGTCTATGTGCAAGATTATATGTTTGGCCCTCCCTGCTTGCAAGCAAGAAAATGCAGCAAAAATCAGGCATGGTTCTAATTGTGATGAATAAAATATGTAAACTGCAGTTAGGTAAACAAACCCAAAAAAAATATATAATATTATTATTATTATACAGTATTTATAGAGTTTGCTCAGCACTGTACATTATAGTGGGGGACAGTACATGAGACAATACAGTAACAATACAATACACAAGGGGTTCGAGGGCCCTGCTCCTTGGAGCTTACAATCTAGGAAATGATTAGAAGAAGGATCTACAAAAAGCTGCAAACACACTATGAGATATTGACAGTCCCAAAATACATAAGAAAAGTGTTGCACTAAGTCCTCATGCACACTTGACGTTTTTACAGCGGCTGTTTTTCTGTTTTTGGCATTTGATGTTTTTTTCTACAGCCAGTAAACCCCCTAGCATGTTATCCTATGTGTCCATGCACATATAGACTGTAATCAATGTTTTTTGGCTGGAAAAAAAACCCAGGACTAGTGGGTTTGTAGAGGAGTTTTTTAGCTGTGAAAACGCTCTATTGATCAAAAATGCTCAAAAACTCAGTAAAACGTGGTAAAACGCCAGAAACCGGCGTTTTTGGATGTTTTTTGACCCAAAATAATTTTTTTTGGTAAGAAAATGTGAGAAAACGCTGCTAAATATGGCAAAAAGCCGCTAAACGCTAATGCAAACATGCTAAATAAAGATGAAAAACTCACGTTTTTAACGTGACTTTCCACAGCTAACGTTACTAGCGTTATGAAAACAGCCAGTGTGCAGGAGGACTAATTAAAAACTAAAAAAATGAAATATAATGGTACTATACACAGGGCTTTTTTTCAGCAGGTGAATGCAGTCCTGGCACTTCCAGCACTAAACGTATGTATTGGCAAGGGGTGCTGGGGTGTGCTGGAAGGTCTATTGATGCTGGCTGCTGGGGGATCTATTGTCACTGGTGAGAATCTATTTTTGCATGGGGGTCTATTGTTGCTGGGGGGGGATTTTATGTTGCTGGAGGGTTCAGTTGTTGCTGGGAGGGATCTCCTATTGAGGGAGGAGTCTATTGTTGTTGGCTGCTGAGAAATCTGTTGTTGCTGCTGGGGTCTATAGTTACTAAGGTGGTATTTTGTTGTGGGGGGTCCATTGTTGCTGGGGAGGTTTATTGTTGTGTGGGGGATCAACTGTTGATGGCTGCAGGGGATCTACTGTATTTTACAGCTTTTCTTGATTTCATTAACACATTATATACAAATTACTTAGCACCACAAAATAATACTTGGTTCTGTATTCTCTAAAAGGGGCTGTACAGGGAGGTGGGTAGGGGATAGAACCAAGGGACGGTGCTTAGAGGTGGGTAGGGGGAGGAGACAAGAGGTGACTCAAAAGGTGGGGAGTTCCTGCAGCTATTCTCTGATAAAAAAAAGCCCTGGCTATACATCAATGAATGATGTATATCTAGTACTAAATGTCCAAATACACAGGTGCAATAAAAGAAAATATATGAAAGCCCCAAAAGTTGAAATGGTGATGACTAATGTGCCATTTCAAATGATAGCTATAAGCTGGGAGTATCTCCCAGAAATTAGACGGATCCTCTACCAGGTAACACCATGCAAGGCTTACCAGAACTATATGACCTTCTGATTAGAGAAAGGTCAGCATGCGCATAATTTGCACTTAATGGCAATCATCAGAGGGTAGAGAAAACCATTTTCATCTCAGAAGACGCTTCGAAAAATTCCTCCATTACGTGTCCATCCTAGTGTTGACATATCAAAAATAAAAGCAAAGAGCTCCACATAGTGTGTACCATTCAGATTACCCCTTTATTACAAGAGTAGAACACTCGCATTATAATGAAGAAAAAGCGCTTATGAAACATCTGCTGGTAACATCAAAATGGCTTCCTGCAGACTTCCGGTTGCGTAATGATGTCACAGCAAGCTCCGCCCACTATATATGTACCCCGGCTATTCCTCCCGAAGAAGCTGTTTATTTACAAGTGCCTTTACTTCATTTTATGTGAGTGTTCTACTTTTATAATAAAGGGTAATTTGAAAGGTAGCCACTCACGTGATAGCCAGTAACAAGATTAGTTTAGTGCACGTTTCAAACACAAGGCTCAAGGACTGAATCTGGCTTGCCAGGCTATTTCATGTGACCCTCGCACTTCTCCTGCAGCTGTGGCACCCTCCTCATCTTCACTCCTTTTCTCTCAGTCCACAGCAAAGTGGAGGAAAGAACTCCTCCTACAGATCCTACGCCTCTCTGTGCAGCCACAGCACCCCCTTGTCTCCACCTCTCCTGGTCTCATCATTCAGCAGACTCTGGTAGCTGTCTCCAGCCCTCCTCTGATCCTCCTACAGACTCTGTTTTTCGGCTCTACTCCCAGCATCTTCCCAGCAGCAACACAAGGTAAAGGGGTTGCACTGCGATGTAAGGGAGAGTGGGGACTCTTGACGTCTGATGGTTGGGGGGCTTTTGACATCTGATCTAAAGGGGGTTGGGGTGCTCTGGACATCTAGTCTAACAGATACAATAGACCCTTTGAGGGCAACCATAATGCTGGTCCATAATGAAATTTAGTTTGAACCCCTGGTTTAGTGCATACACCAGACAAATGCCATTACTCTATATCAGCCATTTTCAACCAGGGTTTCAAGGTACTCTAGGGGCTTCTTCGGAGGTTGTTGAGGGTTCCTAGAACTATGAATAGGTGACCTCTTATTTGATGGTGACTGCATAGAACCAGAGTCAGTGTCACTTAAAAAAGACTGCAGCATGCCACTATTTATCTTTTTACTGTCTGTAAGGGTGGCATTTGGTCTACCACTGTAAGAGAGTCATTTTTCCTACTGCCCCAAATGAAGCAGGTCTAGACCAGAAAAGTATTTCAAATGTTCCTATTGGGTAAAAAGGTTAAGAAAGGTTGCTCTTTATGGTCAAGCCTGTTACATGACCAGGACTTAAAAAAAATATTGGGAGTGGCAAATGTAAAAAAGAAATACAATCTAAAAACACCAGTGGTAAAAACTTTAACTAAAAGCCTAACTTTTTTGTTTTTCTTTTGGATAACGCGTGAAAGAGCTAAAAGCTCTGTCAGGGTTTTATTGCACTCTGTGTCCTCTCTAAGTAGATACAGTGTCTTTTTGTCCTTGTCACCAAGACTAAAGTGATGGAAAATCCAGAATTTGGAATTGTCA